ACATAATCAACACTTAGAACTGTTATTGTGTAAGCAATACTCGGTGACGAACAGGGAAAAAAAAATGAAGAGATTATTCATTCATAACCTTGATTAAATTATTTAGGATCACGAAATAGCTCATTAGATTACGCATGTTCACAGTATATAGGACTTTCCCGCGACAATGTTTGTGACCTTTTAAGTGTGTTACATTTTAGATAATAATATTATTATTTCGAATAAATAGTTATTTATTCAAAGACAATGGAAATTTATATTCGACACCTTTGGCGCATATCTGACTATGAATATTTTGATAATATACAAATGAGACCGGAAATATATAATAAAAAAAAAAAAACGAAGCACTTAGAAGTGTATCGTAGTACATTACTATTGAATAGAAAAACCGTTTTGTTTTTCGATAACTGTTGATCCGTAAACGAATAATATACAAGGGGAAATGCATCCAAAGCGTTCACGGTTCGTCGAGATCCATAGAAGCAAGACACCAGAAATCACGGAGCAAAATTAGTAGTTAAAAAAAATCAAGTATAATAATACACCCAGAAAAAAGAAAAAATCCAAGAGAGACAGAAAAAGGTATATACGCGTAGACGTGCCTATTGGATCTTATTAGACTACTATCCGAACCGGCAATCACACACAAATATATCCCAACTCATCCAAAATCATTGTACAAGATCACAAATTATCGCTACACATAATCACGTCTGTTATTTCAATACGAACGGTGTATTACTATCCAGTCCGTATAAAAGGCAAGGGCGCAATGACTCCTCTCACTCGGTTGCTTGCGCGGGTTTGATTACTTCACGACTTCACGAACGTTACACCGATCACATTTACGAAGGAATTATACGTTGTGGAAAACAATTTAGGATTTCATAAAACACACACACACGCGCGCACGCTTTAGGTACACAAGCCAGTTATTTATTATAATTTCTTATAATTCCAAAATTTAATAATTTTACAGTAATGAGCACAAGACAAATACAGAGAATTGAATACTTTAATGCAATCTCAGAAGTCCACAGGAGTACTAAACAGTAAATGCTTACAAGTTATAAATTGGGTCATATATTTTCACAAATATATGACCAAATGCATATACAGTCGATTTGTGTGAAACTCATAGAAAATAACATGATCACAAAAAAGTGTAAAAACAAGGAAATCCCCGTGAGTTATACTGGAATTGTGTATGATTATTAATTCACAGCTAAACAAAACTTTCCTTTCGTATGTACTAAGCAAAACATTTATGTCTTATATTATAACACACCTGTGAATTTCGCATTTGAATATTTTAATGTGTGCGTAAAACGTGGAAATTTTTTTATTGTTATAATAAGAGAATTTTATTATAATAAAGTAGCTGACCTTGTGGTTTGTACCGCTATAATTTAATAAAACTATAAGAGTCTGGACAGTTAGAGTATGCATTAAAAATCGATCACATTTATAGAAACATTTTTTTTTTGCTATGACGATAATACAAATTAAATATTGCATATATGTCAAAACACAATAGTTTTTAGTAACCGCAGATGATTGCATTATATAAATANACCGCAGATGATTGCATTATATGATATATAAATATTCTGGTATTATATTTTAATAACACATGTATTATAACATAAGCTTTATTTTTATTTTTTGTGGGTTGTGTAAAAAAAAAAAGTTTTTATAATGCAAAATATAGTTAGATTTAACATATGTTTAATATTTAATAATCTATGAGTGTTAACATAATGGCAAAAACATATAAAAGACCTATATAAGAAAAAAAAACCTACAATTAGGTTGAACAATTTTAACTAATAAATGTATAACATATTTCATTATTACGCGGTATATATTTTAAATATTACTTAGTAAACTGATTATATTATAAAAAGTAGTAGACTCCACAAATGATTTAAATTTCACGAATCTACGAATAGAAATGATCATTATAACAAGTATATCTATATGCATTGCTCAATTGAAATTTACAAACAATTAACCAGGTAGAACGGTAGCACGTATTATATTTTAACCACTTTTCACGGTTTATTTCATCCCGTAGTTGTACAATATGGAAATTTATCCATGATATCATAATAAAAAAAAAGTAAGCTTTCATTTCTTTCTTCATTTAAAATTAAACTATTACTTAGAATGCAGTATGTATTATATACACTTTTAAATTATCATTTTTTAACGTAAAATATATATGTTGTAATTGTAACACTAATATATGTTTTAAGCAGTTAAATATTTAATTATACTGGTCGAATACACATTAGTTATAGTCATAGCATTATATACAGTGCTCAAATTGGAAAAAATTAAGTAGGGGAGCTCTACCTAACAATTTGAAAACTGCGTCCCCAGCGTTTTGAAGACCTTTTTTTTTTTTTTACTCATTACTTTATTTAGTCGGAAAACAATAAATAAACAACGATATTACAGAACACTGAACTATAAGATCTATTGTAATATCATACTATAATGAAATATATCAAATAAATTATAAAAAAAAACACATCATAGTAAAATTAATACCTTCTCAGCTAAAATTATTTGATTACAAAATATTTTAAATTGTAAAATTGATCACAATTTAAATCTATACTTAAAAAAAAAAAAAATGCGGTTATATTTTCCACCGTCCTCCCGGCCCAATAAAAAAAAGTAGTTGGGGTGCGCAAAAAATTAAAAAAAAAAGTAGAGGAGCTCCGCCCCCCTGCGTACCCCCCCAATTCGAGCACTGATTATATAAAATAAAGTAATTTTTCCTAAGTATAATATATTTACATGTCATCATTACATCTTAACTTCGAATCCAGTGATCACATGACAGTAGTTAGTCACGATTTCAACACGCACTTGCCTTATGATTACAGCGGTTAGATCAAGAAACATTAAAAAAATACTATAATAAATTTCTGTGAAATCTCCAAAATATTGCTTATGAAGTATTTGTTTTCATCCGGAAAGAACAAAATAAAATAAAACAAAATCGAATGACTCATTGACGGAGACTTAAACGATCACATGACTATAAAAAAATATTGCTTTGTATAACGTAATCGTTATATCATACACATTATGTATACTATATAGGGGTGTTCAGTAAGTAAAGAAACAGGTTTCTTTTGTTTTCATTGTTCTTAAAAATCGACCCGTTTCCTTATTTTTTGAACACTTTATAATACTTTATTACATTTGTTAAAGTTTCAGAATTCTAATACAAGGAATCAATTTTTTTTATGCTTCTGTTTTTTGATACTACCCTCCGAAAAATTTTAATTTTTGAATTAGTGACAGACGTGTAATTTTTCTTTATACCCAATTTGAAACGTAAGATGACGGCATATGTTATTCGATGCACCCAACACGCTTTTTACCCCAAATTATCCCTTGTTGCTCCACAATATCTATGATATCATAAACAAACATATAATATCATTTTACATTGTACAAGTATCCTTTGCAACTATGTACACAACAGTGGACACGTTAACCCTGTCTAGTGTCTTAGACGGTATAATGTTTCGTTTTGACTTTTTTTATCAATAAACCCACATGAACATTATAATTTAATCACAAGGTCCGAGGTCTATCGTATATAAAACCACATCTTCCGGTGTCAAAACACAAAGGTGTCTGGGACCTGAGATTTCAGCGTAAAAAAAAACCTCTGATTAAAATATATTCAATGCTTATACAGGTATGTTTTATATGCGTGAGAACACTATGTGATAAGGTAGTCAATATTAATATTTTCAGTATAATTAATTGTTAGACCGATTTTATAATTTAATATTGAGGATTTTAACAGAGCTATGCATATCACATCAACTTAGGCCTATTAAAAATACATCGAAAAAACAGAGATAACTAATTAATGGTAGTTGTCATTTAATCATAAGAATCTTCAAGTGTCAAGCGANTGTCATTTAATCATAAGAATCTTTAAGTGTCAAGCGAAAAAAGAAATAAATGTTAAATTAATGTTTACTTAGTAATAGGTGGTTTCATTGATAAATAAGATAGTGAAGATACCAATACACGAGATTCAGGTAAATCAGATGAAGGGTTCATGGGTAATTATGTTAGGAAAAAGCTACCTACATGTAACTCCTTGTATTTTGTGGTGTACCTCAGAACTGCGGTCAAGTTCGTGCGGTCGTCGGCTAACACTTTATGATAGTATAGGTAGCAAATGATGTACTCTTTTTGGGAGCATTTTTTCATATAAAAACAACATTAATTTAAATAACTAACCTTGATTATTATTTGTTGACCGGTACGATTGATCTAAAGTAGAAGAATCTTCGGATTTTACTCGTCGGTATGTATCCAATTCTCGAAGATGGTTGGAAAACGCAGCATTTTCCATGAATGGCCTCTGACCAAGGCCTAGGGCACGGAATTGATGGGGTTGACCTAGATGCACAATAGACATAACAAATTCCAAGTATTTATTTGATCTCATATGTCGCAACAAATGTCAAATAATGAATAATTTATTTAAACAGTGTTAAATAAAAATTAATTTTATATAATTCACTAAAATACTAATTTCTTTTTTAATTAGTTTTTTCTACTTGTAAAATAAACCCAATAAAAAAAATTATTTAAAGTACATACTTATCAATTAAATAACTTTTATTTATTTATACGTGGTAAATTCGCATATGAAAATCTAGAGCTAGATTATCACAGAATTAAAAAAAATTACTTTAATCAAATATTGTATTAGTAAATAATTTGTTAAATAAACCACATATTACTACTAAATTTTTAGAGTCTGAAAATGTCAATTGGCAAAAATTATAAGATACTATAAAAATGTACCGAAGAAGCTGTAAATGTTTTACTCATATGTTTAATGAAAAGTTGAGTTTAAATTATTAGCGATTGTCGAATGAAATCTTTTAACGTACATGTAGATTTTTTTATCAGTAGTTTGTAATACTTTGAAAAATTAGTAATTTTCACACTATCCTTGTTTATTTGTAAGCAGATAAGTTATTTTTAACGTTCATATTATTAAAATTTTGTAAATAGTAAACGATAGAGTAATTATTCTCACGGAAGTTAGTGGTTGAGATATTGATAGCGATTGTTACTTGTTGACGCCGTTTTACTGAATCCTAGTATCATTTATATAGATAAGAACTTAAAATGGTTCTCATGCTTAGAAATAAAAATAATATCAATATGTTTTATTGATTATTGAGTAATTGTTTTTAGATTTCCTTAGCAGTCGTCGTTATTCATTTGTCAAATAAAGGCCTCTGGATCATATCCAACTGGTGGGATCAAATTGGTCTGCGTGTTTACAAAATTATAATTAGATCTATTTAGTAATCTACCCAGAGGCCTGCCACATGGGTTCCCGGAAACCTATTCATAACAAAGTCACGCTTTTTGATATTATTGTTGTAATATCGGTATCAATAAAAATGGATGTAAATTTATACTTAGCGGAATTAAACTGAGTGCAATTAGGGGAAATAAATTCAAACGGTAAAATATACTTTAAAACTTAAATAGACGTTATGTAGTTTAATATTTAATTGAACATCATGCTAGTATTTTTTATTAAATCTATTTCCATCAAGGAAGGAAGTCTACATACTTATGCGTTTGATAGAATTAATTAAAAAGAACTTATAGAAATTATAAAAGAAAAACTTATACAAACATTATAGTATAAGACTTTAATATCTCGTCATTTTATAACCACTTCAAATTTCATTTTATTTTCTTGGCTAGGTTATTAAATGTTATAACTATTTAGAGATATAAATAATTATAAAATATAATTGTTTGGATAATTTTTTAAATTTTCAATTTGATTTTAATGAAATTAAAGGGTCTCAAGCAATAATCGACAAGTCTAAGTATTAGAAGATGGAAGTACCACTTAGATACATACAATTTATTTTTTAAACTTTATATATGAATGATATTAAATAATAATAAAGTGCAAATAATATTACAAGGAAACAGGTGCAACTAGAATAAAATTTATTTACTTTTCTACACAAAAAAATATTTTTTGTAGCAATAAATATAGTTTATAATTTTATTTTGAGAGGGCTAGCTAAAGCTACTCTAGTTGCTCCAGTGATGGGTCTTTTTATACACACCAAAATTCTATATTTAATATAAACTAAACATTTCATATTTCTTTATAAACTTACGGGATTTGGACCTTGGTTCACGGGGACCGTCTACGGTAACTTTGATTGCTTTATTGTAAGTGGCTACTTGAGGGGGGCATGTTGCCACTGTAATGGTAATTGTGAAACTTTTTCCTGTAAACATTTTTTTTGACTATTAAAAATTTTAATAACATCTTAGATATGGATTAGAAAAAGTATTAATATTATATTAATGTATTATATTTTATAGAAAATATACGTTCAAAATATATGCATGTAATAGATTACATACACATAGTTTCTTTAAAATAATATTCGTGAAGTTATTGTTATTTGTATACAAGAAACTCTAAAAAATATCTGTTAGCCCTATTATTATTATATTACGTCATATAATAAGTTTTAATGGCACCTAAGCTAACAAAAAAATATTTTAAGGTTCAGGTTTAAAATGTGGAGTAAAATTTAAAATTCTTCCTTGACAGTTATCACCTCATGAATAATATTATACAGGTGTTCAGTAAGTAAGGAAATAAGACAATTGTTACAAACGATGAGAACAACAAAAACCCGTTTTCTTACTTACTGAATATATATTAAATGTTAACAAAATTTTATTTTATATGGTAAAACTACTATACTAGATAAACTAGATCTAACTGACAACTCTTATAAATTTTGATTCATTAATCATTTCGCTTAATTTTTTTCAAATTTGTCTCTAATAAAAAAAGTAAACACATTTTATATATATTTATTTTCAACAATTCAAAAATAGCCAAATTTTAACTCTTTTCTCGCGAACTTTTTTGTTGGGTCAGTAACGGTTCGAGAACAAGTTCTTACTGAGTTACAAGCTTGATGAAGTAAAATATTTTTTTGTATACTTCTACTGTTATCAATACGCACCATAATTCTTCTAATCGGTACCTGATATTATCAAAGGTTTTCCATAATCTGTTTGTTATACATCTTATAATACCGTAACTATAACCGTGTTATCGTTTAAGTTTAATTTCAGTAGTAATGATACCAGCTACAGTGTCTCGTTCAAGAAATTCAAACATTATTATTAATTTTATTGCATGCCTGAGGGGACGAATTGACCGACACGTCATTTTACATGACCCATGGCCCAGTTCACTCGGATGAATCACCTGCGAAACTTATATGAAATCTTCTAGTCCTTAATAAGCATGTGATAAGAACAATCTACGGATATGACTTGACCAGGTTAAAATGTATAGCTATTCGTATTCATTACAAACAAATCCATTAGTTGATGTTGATGTTGGTTGTAAAAAAGGGTTAATCTTTAACAATTTTAATGCTAGAGTACTGATAAATTTTTTAAGTGGAATCATAATATAGTGTGCGTAACTTTTATAGTTTTTTGTAATATTTTAATGCGCTTTTACTTTATGAACAGAGCAATGACAATAACAATTGACACTGTGCAGGATGGTTTATTACAGTTATATGGCTATAATACAAAGTGCAATGAATTCGATGACCACAAAATCCTGCCCAACGTGCAATACACATCAATGAACGAGTATTTTTTTCACGTCTTTTTTCAGCCGCCGCCGTTATCCTGTCGTCAGTGTAATTGCTTCCACATTGTAAAAATACGAGAAGTACCATACTACCACCACATAAACGACTACAGCGGTACATTAATAATATTAGTGTCGAAATGTAACCAAGTAATAGTATAAATGATAGTAAAAGAGATTTAGAACGACAGTTATTGCAAATTGATTTTTTTTTTCGTTTTGCGGACCTCTTGATGATACGAGTATACGGGAAATAAAAATAATAAAACCGTTTCTTTACGAATATTAAGTAGTCTCCCGTGGAAAAGCGCAAGACAACAAAGACTCTTTGTTCGGTTATGTGATCTATGTCCAGAAGATACCTTAATACGACATTGTTGGAGTTGGCTAGAGTTAATTACCTGTATAATATACGAGACACCCAAAATTATTATATCTAGAAAACCACACTTCGCTGTACTGGTTTGTACCAAGTATCCATATACAGAATAATATTACAACAATTTTTACTCAAGTATACTAATAATAAGTTTTAACAATTTACATAAAATATCTTTTTCTACCTTGTAATAATTAAAAAATAGTTATATAGACTGATCGGTTTATTATAAGCTACTAGATTACTCTCAAAATAAATACACCATTGAAAAAAAAATGTTTCCTTTTTTTTAGTTTTACATATTTCTTGATTTTTATCAGCTATTAAATAATTACTTTTTAATATCATCCCCTATAACTTATAGGAGCGTCAACTTTATTTTTTCAAAGAGCTAAATAGATAATTTACTAGCTTATTTACGAGATAATGATGTAATGAAGAAAAAGACTGGTTGATAACAACTTTTGGACCAATACTTCGAAAGTTATTCGTAAATTTATAACCAAGTTGGAAAGAAGAGTACGACCAGGAAAATAGCTGTACCCATTCTTAACCTCAAGTCATAACTTTAAATTGTTAGCAACTTTAAAGTACTGGTCCAAACTTGTTATATACAAGTCGTTTTCTTAATTACTTCATTATCTATAAAATAAGGTAGTAAATTATCTATTTTGCTCTTTGAAAAAATCACGTTGACACCTTACAAGTTGTAGGGAATGATATTAAAAAGTGATTTATAACTGATAAATCAAGAAATATACATAACTAAAAAATACCAAAAAATAATTTCGCATTATTGTACATCTTTTGCGAGTAAACAAGTGATCTGTGAACTATGTGTATATAAGAACACCTTTTGGATTAGTATAGATCCATTATTGAGTATTATTTTAAAATATTAATACAATTTTTCATTGAATTAATCTTTATTATTTGATTTGACGTAGGTACAAACTAATAATTAATCCATGAATTTACCTTTAAATTATAACTCTTAAATTTAAAAATTTATTCGTCTTTTCTCACGAAGAAACCTAGTTATTTTAGAGTTTAAATAAGTTGGCAAAATTTTAATACTAGTTGTACTCAAGGTTTATAGTCTAAGTTAACTCTAAAATTCGCTTTGCTGCACATTTGAAAAATAAGTAGATTTAATTAGTTTAATAATTAAATTAAATTAAATTAATTTATTTATACATTGTATGTATGATGTACCTTATTAAAAATGAATGTTAAAAAATATATTAAATGCATATAATTTCTTTTGGAAATAGTTTTTAATTTTAATCAATTTTCAGGTAATTATTATAATTTTAAATAAAACAAAAAATTAACACCGCCGTTCAATAGTAATATCCGTAAACAATAATGTAGTCACAGGAATATAATTTTCTAAATATTTTTATTTAAAAACTAAACTAATGAACCAATATTGATGAAATGTCTATGGAACCAATCTTAATGTAAAACTTTTTATATAAAAAATAAGAATTTTCAAAGTTATTTTAAAAATAACGGAATTCTGAGGTATCGAACATAAAAAAAATATACAAATGAATTGTGAAACTCCTCCTTTGTTTGAAGTCAATTAGAAATTAAGTTTTAATTGTTTTTTTAAATTATCATTTACTAATTAAGTTAAAACAATTGCACATTGAAGGATTAAAATTAAACTTCAAATCAATTATTTATCTTAACTAAGTGAGCTGAGAGCTATTACCTGGCGCAACTAGACAAGAGTTAGGGGACCGAATCACCTAGTTTAATAACTCAATAATATAAATATTATGTACAACTTTCTCAGAGTATTTATCGGTCATATAGTAAATTAACAGTTTAATGATTAAGAGTGTCGTTCAATTGCAGTAGGATATAAACCAAAACAAATATTTTTCTTAACTAGTAGTAAGTTAATTCGTCAAGAAAAAGCAAAAAAATTGTTTTAGGATTTTGGAACCGAATGGAACAAATCGGTGTTGCTCGGGAACAACCGTCTCAATCTAAAATTTGTAAAAATGAGTAAAAGTCGCACATGATTTAAAATAATTATGTAATTATAACAAAATTATTGTTTGACATATTTTAAACATCGGTAAAACAATCTGAATCATAAAACGGTTATAATATAATATTATTAAACAGTTATATTACTTATTTTGTTTCATCAGTATAAACGCATATTTATTTTGAATAATCGATCCTAAACTCATTTTTATACAAATTTTTTAGTTGAACAGTTTATCTCGAATACTACTGAAATACAACTAATTTTTCTCACTTACCACGTCCGCTTCGACCAACGAACCTGAGGTCGTTGAATTTTGCTATCTGATTTTTAACAAGTGCCGAACAGTTTCTGAGTTCTGCTGAACAGTTTTCATCATTGCCGGCCTTGAGCGTGACGGCTGTACCATCTGGTACTTCGGATAGAATTACTACTTTAAAAGCACCGGGTAGTGTTTTGTTCGAACGCCAATGCGTCGGTAGCGCACTACAAAGCATATAAGGGCAGCCAGTGCGGACAAGCTCACCGGGATGTTCTGCAGTCACTTCATTAACAGCAGCTTCAGTCCACCACAATTCTTCAGATGAAGACGCCGTTGCCGCCGACTGTTGTTCGGATGCACCACGGCGTCTCTTTTTGTTGTGGTCGGACGTCATTGATCGCACTAGTCGCATAACAAAAATTCACCCAAAAGCGTAACCAAATCGATAAATCCGAAGAAATAGAATAATTGAAACCGAATCTTACTCGCGATAAGCCGGAAAACGTTTACGATTTCAACAGGAAGAGGCGCTAAAGAGTTACAGAACGGAAATTCGAACACGCCCGAACCGCGGAGTTGACCGACTGCAGAGTTGGAACCGGCAGGGCAGCGCAGAGAGACGCACGTTTCGCTCCCCACCAACGAGCATCGATAGACACTCCCATCGGCAACTCCCACATGATCCGGGAGTGACTTATGTGTTTTTGGGACTTGCAGTAAAAAATTATAAAAATTAAAGAGAAAATACGAAGACTAATTAAAGTTTCCTCTATTATCGGTTCAAATGTATATTAATTCTAAATGGTTATAACCTCAAGTTATGTAAAATTTGTCGTATAAACTAGATCGAGGAAAAATAGTAAATTTTAAAATTAAAACTTTCAATATACACAAGTTTGGATCAACAATTACTGTGCTTATTATTATCGTTTCCTGTGATACAGGCAAAAGCTTTTAAGAGAACATTACGTATAAACAAATATTTTAATTTTTTAGCTATAGAGAAAATTTGGAGATTGTTAAATAATCTAATCTAGTAAAAATTTTACATTGCTTACAGAAAGAATGGTCTAGTTTTATCCTGTAGTACTATAGTACTATACGACAAGAAATGTTATCGTAAAGAAAAAACATTTTGGACACAAATTAATCTAAGTTTAATAGAGTTCTACAAAAATATATTTATAATAATGATGACTGCAGAAATATTTCATGGGGCAAAATATTTGTATTAGTATCTGCTCAACATACGCAGTGTTGAAGGGAAGTAATAGCCTTTTTACTAAAAAGTAAGCTTTTTTGGAAGCGTCACCTTAAGTGCAACAAAAAGGAACTTACTTAACGAATTAGCCACCCAAAAATTTAAATGATTGTGTGTGTTGTCAAATGTTTTTAGGATAGGGAGGAAATAAAATTATCGATTTCAAAAATGTTATTTTAATTGGTACCTATAGGCCTTGTCGAATAAAATAAATAAATAAAAGATTTTTTGACAGTTTTGTGTATTTTTTTTTTTTTATAAAATTTAATGTTTAATATATTAAATAAATATAAACTATACCTACATGTCATTTATGTATTAAAAAACAATACTCTTAATCTTGACATACATAATAAAAATTAATAAAAACATTATTTTTTATTTTTAATTAAAAAAAACCCAGCACAGGGGGGTCAAATTTTTTTTTTTCAAATTAAAGTACATTACATTAACTTTAATTTAAGATATATATAAAAGTGTCAGACCTTCCGGAACATTTTCAAAAGTTAAGTTGAAAAAGTTAATTTTTGTGAAAAAGTTAATTTTTGTGAAAAAGTTTTCATTTTAAATCCTCCTCTGTGGGCAGGTAAAGGGTTAAATTTATGAAAAAATATACTAAATGATAGGTAAAAACATCAAGCATCTATAAAAAAAAATTATATTGATATGTTCATTTTTGAAAAAGTTATGGCAGTTTTTAGTAAAAAAAAATTTCGAAAATTAGCGATTTTTAAATTTGTAATTTTTTTGGAGGTTTCCCCCATTTACGGGGAACGAGGGAAATTTTTTCAATTTTGAAGGGTAATGTCTTCAACTAGATACAATTTGTGATCTTTTGACGTATCGTTGAAAGAAATCCATTCTGTGAGAGTTGAGAAAAAGTGGTAACAGACACAAAAAAAAAATAAAAAAATAAATAAATAAACACATCATAGTAAAACCAATACCTTCTCAGCTTCGCATCGAAGCTAAAAAGAATTATTCTATAAAATTTGATAATAATGAAAATTGACAAAGCAAAAAGTCAAAAACAGAAACATGTCTCCCCCCCCCCGTGGACGCTTATGATTTACAACTTCATCTAGACAGTTCCGAAAAAGTTAAGTATGTGAGCTACTGAGAAAAATGGTAGATTTTTTTATAAGAGACTGGTCGTATATATTTATACCTATTAAACAACAATATTATAGAGTGTGGCTATTTTCTAACATCTGATGTTAATTTTACTTATTTTTTCAAAATAATAAATAAATTTATGAGTTCGAAAATGATGAACGATAAGTAAAAAAAGTAATACAGGGTTCTTAAAACACAGACTTTAAACTCAATAAAAATCTTGGTGAGCTTTTTGATTTCAATTTGGTGCTGAAAGTAAATGAATATTTACTGGAAATTGCCGTATGAACAAATTTTTATAGTACATTTGTGAACGGATGACAAACAAGCCATAAAAAACTGAAAATTTTATTATACATCTATTTATCAGCTATTTATTATTGTTTTGTTAAATTAATAACTGCCATAAATAGTATGTTAAAAATTCTATCAAATGCACTTGATAAATTTAAAATGAAAATAAATTCTATGAAACTCAAGTAAAATGCACTCAGATCTAAATATCAACATACGAATAATCAATACACGATTATAACAGATCCGAGAATTCTGCTACCTTAGAAGTATCATAGCTTCCAATGACATATCAATACCAGACATCAGAAGAAGAATAGGATTGGCAAAGCAAGCACTCTATAATAAGAATCAATTTCTCACCAATAAATATCGGATCATTAGCATACGTAAAACATTCGCTAAAATATATATCTGGAGTGTGCTTTCATATATCAATGAAACATGGACAATTGACAAGATAGACAAAAGCAAACTAGTAGCATTAGAGTTATTGATATAGAGAAAAATGACAAAGACATAATGGATAGACAAGAAAAAAAATACGCAAGTGCTAAAAGAAGTACGAGAAGAAAGACAGCTGATGAAGGTTATTGAAACAAGAAAAATTAAGTTAATCGGACACATCATCTGACACAATGGCTTTATAATCAACATCTTCGAAGGAAAAATAACTTAAAAGAAACAAAGAGGACGAACAAAGAAACAATATTTTGAACATATTCTGGAACTCATAAATTGTGCGTCTTATGTTTCCCTAAAGAATTTGGTGTCAAACAGAGGAGTTGCCTTAACGACAAGGCATTGCCTTTAATAGATGATGATGAATTAAAAACACTGATTAGTCATCTAAAATTAGGATTAATCTCAAATATTAAAGTAAAATTATATTGAGGTTAAATTATTTTCTTTTTCTTCAGTTTATTGCAAGCTATTTAAGTCCATCAATGCTAAACATAAATTCTTCCATTCTTCATGATTTTCTGCCAATTATCTAGGATTATCTACTTTCAGAAACTCTAAATTCATAAATGAAGAAATTTTTTTAATTAAAAACCTGCTATTATTTTAAATAAAATATTTTACCATAAATAAAAAAAAATGTTTTAAAATAATAAAAGAATTATTTTTATTATGATGCTGTTTTTCTACATCATTATATAACCCCAGAGGAAAACGGAAAAGTTATTTTTGGTAGAAACTGACGATGCCCGATTTTATTATGAATATTTAAAACTCTGTTATTGTCACATAATATGCTGGAAAAAATTCAAAACATTCAGCTAGATTTTCAATTTCTGAGATTAATTTAATATAAGAAAAGTATTTCGAAGAATTTTACTTTACCAATAATTGCAAAAAAATATATTATTAAACCCTTAATAGGTTTTTGTTGAGTATACTCTATCTCTGCTATATATATTTCAACTTAAACAAATAATTCATTTATTAGTTTAAATTCTTAAATCAACAATTAAAGTACTTTATTAACCTTTGCTATAACAATGATTACTATTTTCAATGCCTATTATATGAGATGGATCCAGCAAAAAGGTAAAGTCTCCTACCACTTTTTTATTCAAGGCGCTTCTCAAATGTACCCAATAAACAACATATTACTTAAGTGTACCGTGAATATTTCTCCAAAATGGCTATGAATTAAATGTATATAAAAATAGATATGTGACTGAAGAAGTTTGAATACTGTCTAGTACTCCTTACTAGAGTTGTCTAAATTTAGCCTAAATGAAGTGCAGCGGCGTATTTATATGCAGGCAAGATAGGCAACTGCCTACATCGGTATATTTTAAGGGATGGCAAATATTGAAGGTCAATAAATTTATAAAAAGCGAGTTATTTTTTTATTGTTGTTAAGACATATTGATTTCCTAATCATTTTCATAATCATTTTCATTTGTTGTGTATTTATTGTATGTATATTAATAGCTAAAAGCAATTTTAAAATTTATTAATAAACATAGATTTGCTGGAAAAATATTTTTAAATTTTATTTTTTTTCGAGGAAGAAATAGTAGCGTTATGGCAAAAATATATAAAAATGAGCCCCCTCCGTCATAATGTAATGAAGAGCGGCTAATTTTTAAATGCCTATAGGCGAAAAATATGTGAATACGCCACTGATTAAGTGATTTTTAGTTAGGCGCGTCTGTATCGTCTATTATTAAAATAATAGACAGGACAGGATAAGTCTAAAGTGAGGGCGTAGGGCTGTTTTATCCTCATGATTATTTTTAAATAAGGATGCTCCAAATAATAAAATCGTAGTTCAAATAACACAATTTTTAAAAATTTATTTAGTCAACAAAATACATTTTTTTCATAGAAAAATGAGTATTTTCTAACCAATTTTGGATCATCCTGATACTTTGAAATAAAAAAAAAACCCAGCACAAGGGGGTCGTGGCAAAGTGGTGACGTGGCATAGTTGGATCAAGTATAATGATATCTGACATTGATTAAAATCACTATCAACAAAAACGCTTCGATAGTATTAAATTTAAAAAAAAATCTAAGATAGCTATTTTGTAGAGTAGAATTTAAGAAAAATTTTAGTAAAAAAATATCTTATTAATATTCAATAATAAATATTCTGTAGCGTTTTGAAGTTTGTGAAAATTTGAATTTTCTTGTATTATTTTACGGTATTAAACATTGAAATACGTATTGAGAAAAGGACAGATGAATGAGAGTGATAAGTAATAATTGCCCTATCTAATTTCTTATCAAGGTATTAATGCCAAGTTTGTAATGTATACACATTATCATCGTATGTATACACAGTAATCATGAAAAGATAGCGTTTTCTTCAGTCCTTTTCTCAATGCGAAAATCAATGTTTAATACCGTAAAATAATACAAGAAAATTCAAATTTTCACAAACTTCAAAACGCTACAGAATATTTATTATTGAATATTAATAAGATATTTTTTTACTAAAATTTTTCTTAAATTCTACTCTACAAAATAGCTATCTTAGATTTTTTTTT